CTGAATGATTCATGATGTTTGTTGATCCAGATGTTGGGTTACTTGAGTCACCAAGTAAAGAACAGAAGTGCATGAAGTCAAAGAGACTGAGATAGATGAATAACTCACATGCAGATGTTTAAATTTTAGGATGGATGGGAAATCTGTCACAGTTGTTTTTCTAACATGTATCTTTTGGCTCTTTCAGAAACATTGTAACTGGGACCAGACTCAAGAGGCTTTTGTGTTCCCAGATAAAGGGAGTCTGATGAAATACACAATTGTAGTTACAACTATGATCACAGCTGGCAGGTAGGTTGCTTACACATATAAAATGAAATACAAAATTTGGCACTATTTGACTCTTTGGCATCATTCTTTAGTGTTACACAGCATGTGGCAGCATGTACAATTCCTGCTGTGTGTCTCTTTTCTTCAGACTGGTGTCTATAGGAATCCCAGTTGGCCATTTTACCCACGTCTTCTTGGATGAAGGAGGCCAGGCAGTGGAGCCAGAGTGCGTCATTCCTATTGCAGGTAAATGCTGATTATCTGAACAATAGACTCCTGCACACTGTCTTCTTCACTTACAGTCAGACATATTTAATCATGACAATATTTCGGTCTTCTACACTTCTTGACACTGAAAAGATTGCTGCAAGTCTGTTCCGCTTCTGGCAACCCGCTTTGAAGTCTCATACACGCGCAGCTTACTCTAACAACAGTTGAGTTTCAAACACAATATGCATCCAGTTTTACATCTAACTGATGGGCTATAATACAGAAATACACTTTCCAGGACCATATAGATAATTTCCAGTACATGTGGTAATTTTAATAAATTTCCAGCTTTTTTTCATGACTAGTAAATTAGTCTCTAAATTTCTAGCTTTTCCAGGTTTTCCAGGACACGTGGGAACCCTGCATATTTTAAAGATGCACACATACCTGTAGAGTACATTGATCATGCATCCATCAATCTGTCAAGCAGGATTCCTCAGATAATATCTTAGATACAGGGTGTCTACTTTTGATAAAAGGATGATTTGTCTTTGTATCATAATCTAATAATAATAATGTAACAGTGCACTAAAATTAAAGGTCAAGATTTCACACTTTCATGAGGTTTCAAAATATTTTTATTCTGATTATTGTGGTACAGAACAGAATATAGTTGCTAAAAATAAGGTCTAATGATGGAGGGGAACTGGCTGGGTCAACTGGGGCTGTAAAGCACTGAACAGATTTCTCCTTGGTCACTGTACAGAACTTGATCCAGATTTCACTTGCACTTCTTTAAAAGTACACAGCTGTATCGCTGCCAGCACAGGCGGCAATGAGCATGTGCAGTGGCGGAAATAGGAATGTGAGGAATGTGGAGGACATCGTTTTCTTTGAAGTTGTAGTCCTGTCCATGTTCACATCTTTTCTTTCTTTTTGCAAACCTGGCCAATGGCTTCAGAGAGTGTGCAAGACATTGGTAATTTCAAGTCTAGAAAGCTTTTCACTTCTGTGTATGGCACTGCTTAGAGAGTATATACTGACCTTTAACTGTTTCAGTTAAGGTGGTCTTAATGTGTAAGTGAAGCGGTGAAACTGATGCGTGTTGTTTCTGATTGGTTGGATGTTCCATTTGGTTTCACAGGTCTGCTCAGTGCAGGGGAGGGTCAGTTGGTGCTGGCAGGAGATCCCAAGCAGCTGGGGCCGATCCTTCGATCACCTCTCGCACTGCAGCATGGACTCGGTGAGACAGGGTTTACATTATTGTGTCCTGATGTATTCTATTACACACTGTGAAAGTAGTTACTGTATTGCAGTGTTTACCACTTTGAGTTTAGTTTATTGATAGAAGTGTAGCATACAATGACTTGTGTCTTAACTTAACCCCATGATTCAAGGATATAAATGTAATGCTATGACTGTGATGTTCTTCAGGGCTTTCTCTGCTTGAGAGACTGATGATTGATAACCCTTTATATCAGAAAAGTGCAGACTCTGGACACTTTGACACCCGCTTTGTCACCAAACTGTTGCGAAACTACAGGTGTGTCTTTCAGTTTTTACCCCAGTTGTATTTATTAGTTTAGAAAGCTGCTGTTTTGATTAAAGCTCTTCAGCTTTCTTGTTTTTTTTCCCCCTTTTCTTCTCTCAGGTCTCATGCTGCCATTCTGAAAATCCCCAATGAGCTGTTCTATGAGAATGAACTGCAGGTGTTTGCTGACCAGTGGGATCGTGAGGCCTACTGCAACTGGGAGTACCTTCCCAAAAAGGTTTTTAATTTCTGATGAACTACAGTTTGAAAGGAAACTAAATCACTAGTCACAAAGAATACAAAATATGCTATTGAGTTGCACTGTGGGAAGTGTAGGATCCAGGGTTTTTGAAGTTTTACCCATTACTAAGGACTTTAAGTCAGGATATTTTTTATTTTAACCAATTTCTTTTGCTAATCTGTCTTTTGAAAAGTCCCCCCAGTTTTGCTATACTAATTTGCATGAGAATCATAATTAGTGTTGCAAGGCATCAACACCCATTATCCATTATCTAAATGAATTGAACACAGCATTAGACTGTCACAGAAATCAAAGAGGAAAATTATTAAAACAAATTAGATCTTATTATGGAAACAAAATCTCATTAGAAAACAAAGTGGGGCAAAAATTGAATTATAGAAAAAAGCTGAACTCTCATTAGGATAAAAGAGAGAAGCCTGGGGAGGGCTGTTTAAAGAGTAATGCTTCTTTTATGACAGTCGAGCATGAGACACTAGCTAAAAGTGAGCAGACATTAAACAAAAACCGGAAAATAGTGTAAACAAAAACAGCAAAATAGCACGTAAACCACAGGAATAACTGGCAACTGCTCACTCTCACGTCACTACAGGGTTTCCCATTGATCTTCCACGGGGTGATGGGAAAAGACGAGAGAGAGGCCAACAGTCCCTCTTTCTTCAATGTGTCTGAGATTGAAGTTCTGGTCGACTATCTCACCAAGCTGATGGAAACACAAGGAAAGAAGGGTATCCCCAAACTCTCTGCAAAAGACATTGGCATCATCGCCCCCTACAGGAAACAAGTACGTTTGCACTCTGGTTACTTGTGTTTTTAGATATGAGGATAAACCATTTGAAATAGTTATCGACAATGCTTACTTTTCTCACAGGTCGAGAAAATCCGAAAGGCCCTGAAGTCTGTCTCTGCTCGGAATCGATGGAGTGATCTCACAGAGCTCAAGGTAAATACTTTACTCTCTATCTGTTAATCTTGTTAGGCGCTCTGAAAGAAACACAACATTTTAAGTCTCTTCTGCACAGAATCAATAGAGTGAAATTAAAAGATTTTGCTCGTCTGTTTCCTCCCATGCCCAAGTGTAATTAAACATACAACAAGGAGTTTTTAACTCATTATGTAAGAAACAGTCCTAATTTACTTTAATTTGATTCCGCTACATAAACAAACAAGACAATCAGTGAGAAGATTGGCTCGTTCTGTAGTAGCTTTAAAGAAATAAGGATTGCGTTCATTCACAGCTATACTGTTTGAAATCATTTTGTATTTTGGCTGACAATGTATTTATTTTCATCAGGTGGGGTCTGTGGAGGAGTTTCAGGGACAAGAGAGGAAGATCATCATGATCTCTACTGTCCGCAGTAGCATCAACTACGTCAAGATGGACAAAGACTTCAACATTGGATTCCTGTCAAATGAAAAGGTTTGTTGTATTCCTTCTTCTCCATATAAAGTGATACCAGCAGGATCTTTAATCTTCAAACAAACATTTCATATTGTTTCTTTTCTTATATGTATGTATCCACTCTGCAGAGATTCAATGTGGCAGTGACCAGAGCCAGGTCCCTGTTGATAGTCGTGGGAAACCCTGTGATCCTCAACAAGGACCCCACCTGGGAGAAGTAAGACAAAGCAAGGGACACAGGAGGTCTTTTAGTAGTGTTCGGAGACAGAGAAGTGCTCTTTCAGTTGCAGACATGAGTTCAGAGTCTTGTATTGAAAACGTGATTGAAATTTGCATTGCGTTTGTGACCTCGGTAACAGTAGTTGACGAAACAATCTCAACTCAACATCCATTTAGCAGCTGTTGTATCACATAATAAGCTTTTCGTCCATGTTTGCTTAGTCTGTGGTTTTTCATTTGCAGGTTCATCAGCTACTGCGTGAAGGAGAATGGCTACACTGGATTTGACTTTAAAGATGCAGAAGGAGAAGATGACATTGTGTCAAGACTGGCAACCCTGAAAATCAACGTGGATTCCGACAGTTAGTACAGATATAAAAGTTGTAATTGCATGTGAACATCAATCATTTATTCAGGCTAATATCAGTTGCAAGAAGCAGTCCTGAAATATTTTGCTTGTGAGAAAGTAAACTTTTGTGTCTTTCTGTATTTGTCACAGGTCCTGTAGGAGAGGAGAGTGCGTTGCAGCAGTATGTGGACCCTGAATGGAAAAATGAACATTAACATTTCTGTTGACTACCAACAGAAAACAAAGAACTGTTTGCAGTGACATCTTCAAAAGATTATCAGATTGAAGTACATAAGGATGCCCAGCATCTGTTATTTAAGAATATATCCTTTTTATGAACTTTTAAGAGCAGTTTGCATATTTTGCGGCTCTTTTTTTGATGAGAATGCCAAAATGAACTGGCAAATCTTTTGTTCTTGACTTTTTCATCCTTGTCTTTCAGTGGCCTTTTAAATAAAAGCTGCCACCTATGAACATTGCTGCACACAAGCAATTTGTTTTCTGGGTGACAAAATAAGAAGCACACTATTGTATTTCTCAGGAATTAATCACCGTTTGTCTTACTGCTGATTGCACTCAAGTTAGTCTCTTTAAATAATCTATTCCTATCTGATAATAACTGAAGACTGACGAAATAAATTACATATTATACTGCACACTATCATGTCACAAGCTTCCTTCCTTTAATGTTGTCTTATGCCGTAAAACCATATTTGATGCCTCAACATTCTACAAGAATTGACCAAGGAAGGCCAGTCGGTCTTGTCTCAAAAATAGTTTATTAACAATGTTCATGTTCACTTCAGATCAAACATTCACTACAACACTTTCTGTTTACAAAGCATTATTACAATGAGCTTTTATATAAATCTGGATCCTTTATTATTTCAAAAGAAAGAAAAAGAAGTTACACAACACTGAGCAGAAGCTGTTCCCAAAGACGTGTGCATGTAGTGCTTGTGTGTGTGTGTTTGCGTGTGCATGTGCACTGTAAAGACCCATGGTTTTCTCATGCATGCATTGGAATCATAAAGACAACTTTTGATTTAGCGCAACATTACCTGCATACACATTAACAGCAGTATTGTACATGCTCTTAGTGATATGTTCAACACTAGACCCTCTGCTGCTCTATGGGAATGCTTCCATCATTAAGCTTCCGGCTGTGAAAGTTATTCCACTATCTCTGCCGACCTCTAATTCCCAAGAATGTCTTGGCGTTCTAGCTTGTTGAGACCAGTGAACGTCAAGCCACAACTATGAAACGCATAACCCATGGCCCATGTTTTCATTGATAAAAATCTGAAGGATCTGTATCTCTTTATTCTTGCCTTGTTTATGTGCTTGTTGTCCACAATAAAGCACAAATTAAAACAGGGTATCCATCCCTATAAAGATTTGAGGTAACAATATTAAAATGGTGCTTGTGTGTGTGATTGCAATAAATGCCCCCTCGCTTCAAAAACACAACTAGTTTTTATAAGTTATAGCTTTTCCACTAGATCACTCAGTTAAAACGTGTGTGCTTGGCCAGTAGAGGGTATAAAGTTGCATTACAGATGGTATTACAATATAACAGACAAAGATCCCGCCAGCTGGTAGGTTTGTTGCCTTTACTGGCATTATAAGAAGTTTTGCATGCAACATCAAAGATATCATTTTTGCCATACACAGTTCAACATCCACCCTCCTCTAGACATACAGCAACATGCAACCGAGGGACACGTACAGTACATGAACAAGCAACAGAGGCAGAGAAAGGAATGCTATAAAGAGTCTGTGCCTGAGGACAGTCGCTGGGCCTTTCAAGCATTGTATATCAAGCCATTATATTTTCAGGTCAAATTCACAATCGAGTATTCTCAGAGGACACGTGAGCAAGTGGACGGTCTCTGACATGTCTCCAAAGGCTGCTATGACAAAAATCCAGTGTAGACCCTTGAAGATCTCCTGCTCCTTTAACTTGAGACATAAACTGTTTCTTGCCAGGCAGTGAACATCAAGAGCAACATAAATCAGGATAAAGACAAATAAACCCAATTTCCATCTTTCCACAGTTGTTCTCTAAAAACTTTTTGGGCAGTTATAATACACAACTGTAAAACATCAAAGACAACCTTTAGGGGAGCAGACAGATGTTTTCTCAGTGATGTTGAGGGAATCTGTAATGTTAATGTTTTGTAATTTCCCATGATTCATTCTCGACGTAAGACCGCATGACGTAAATTGGCGAAACCTAGCTTATCGGTCAAGATAATAAAGATGAAACTGACTCCATACAATCTCAATATTTATGTTATGAGGAACTCTCAACAGAAAGTTTTGGAAACTAATGACACATTTGCATAGTAATCATTATAATTTTTAAGAAATTCAAAGAACCAAGCTTTGTGAAACATGTCAGAAAAGGTCACTCTTGTCCTTATCAGTCAGTGTCATAGAGCAGCTGGTCTATCTGGTCCGGGAGAGAACAACCAAAGGCACACCAGAACAGAGAAGGCACTGGGGAAAAACAAACTCCTTACACACACACAACACACACAACTCAGCTCCTCTCAAACATGTGAAGAATGTCGTCCGACTGGAAACATCCACACGCGAAGGCTAAAAGCTCTAACAAGACATGATTTCCGCGACTGGGCTAACCCGCACAGCACACGGATTCCAACAGCAGGCGTGACTGGCTCACTCGCATCGTAGCAGAAGAAGAGCTGAACTCAAGTCACTCACAATAAACAAACAAGGGAGGTTTCACCAGGCCTTGGCCTTCATTTCTGTTTCAGCTGCGTCATCTTGGTCCTAACAGCCATTGTGCATAGTTGAGTCATATTGGCTTGTGTCTTGATTGGCCAGTTCTCATCTGTCTGTCCTGGTCCACTGCACAGAATAACAATAGTTAAGCGGGATGCATGTGAATAATCAGATCTAATACTCCCTTGCTGACTGTTTATCACATCACAGAGGCAGCTACCTTCTTTATCATCAGTGAGAATGGCAAATGTTGGAGGGAATGGTGATGTTTCATGCCACCGAAAATGGCACAAGCAACCATTTGTTGTGCTGGACGAGTTGTCAGCTGCACTGAAAGCCTTTAGTTATGGCTTTGCTCAGGTTTCACAATGACAACACTGTGTAAAATGAGCTACAGTACAATAGAGAGCCCCTCAGCTGAAAAGTTAGCTAGCTGACAAACAAGTAGACTGTGGTGTTAAAAAAAAACAAAAAACAACAGAAAACAAAAAAGGCACTAGCTCTTATGGTCAAAAAGATATCAACTTTCATTCTCTATCATGGCTACCATGATAAACAGAACTGAGACTAACAGGACAGTCTGGACTGTTTGGACAAGACCTTACTCATGAAGACTTTATACAAGCTAAGAAGGATGCTGCTCGCCCAAGCTCGTGAAGAACAATATTGCATACAAATATGTGCACCTATCACTGCCTCATTACATTACAACTCTAAAGAAAAACAAGTAGGAAAACATTCTACGTGTAAAGACAGATTTTGAGAAAAAATTAAATCAACAAGGATCTTTAAACATCAATTTCTAACCATGGTTGTAATATAGACAAAGTTCATTTCCTGTATTCAGTTTGTTTGCATTCTACTCATCTGCCTGACTGTTATCATGAAATGCAAGATACAGTACAAAGATGCCATTTGGTAAAAGGTCAGTCCTTTTCATGTGTTTTTCTTTTTCTTATATTGGTCAGTGGATTCTATGGGGGTCTGGAGTGCTCACAGAAGCGTACAGCCGCCTCTCTTCTTGCGCTTGCGGACTTGCAGCGCCGCTCTAGTGGCCATCTCAAACACTTCCCGCACGCCGTCCTTGGTCTTGGCGGAGCACTCCAAGTAGCCAAAAGCACTGATCCTGTTGGCCATGTCTCTGCCTTCTTCTGGCTTCACCGGCTCCTGCATGGTTAGATCAGAGATTGTTAGGAAAGGTAATCTTAATCCTTTGGGAGGGGTTGAATGTAGTCAATCAATATCCTATTAGCATCTGCATCTCAACAGAGAGCTAAAATTTTTAGCAACTTCTATTGTGTTATTTGGTGCATATGTAAAAATATTATTTCACACATATATATATATATATATATATATGAAAATAAAAATAAATACTACTACTGCTATTATTTTTCAAGCAAAAATGCCAAATGTTGAGCTTCTCAACAAATAATTATTAGTAGCAGCCCTACACATGTTCAATAAAACCAAATAAGCTAAATTTGACGCCATCTTGAAATGAGGGTGAACAGATAAAACTGGAATTGGAGCCTCAAGTGCGCTACTTCACTAACCCTCCCAGCCACATCATACCTACACACGTCGACCCACCAATGTCTGCATGACCATGTAAAGTCCAAAACACTTGAACTGATGACTTTGTGCTACTCTTTGTGAAACGGTTCCTGATTTTCTACAGAAAGGAAAAGCTGACAGTGGCGTCTGAAAGAGCTGGAGAGCTTTGTCAACATGTTGCTATTATCAGCTGGACCTGGAGACAGAGAGTGGGCCATAGAGGCATTCTGTGACACAGTAAACCAATATGTTGCTGTCATTGTAGGATGACTGAAAGGCTGCTGATAGCCTGTTCAGAGTGCTGTCACCATTTGAAGTTAACTTTCAGTGACAAACGGGTTAAAAAAAAAAGATAAAAAGGGAGGATTTCCTTTTTTATTACTGTGCAATCTTTCTGCTGGCTTTTTCCTCATTTTCTTACTTCTTACTCATCTTCTTTGATCATATTCATCTCATATCTCATATTGACATTCTGCTTTTCTCTACATATATAATCTCTCGCTGTCTATTCACTTTGTGTGACGATTCCAAGTCAGTGGTCCTGGAAGAGAGATCCCTGTTCGCCTTTTTTCACTCATTTAAGTGTTTTTGATGGTGTTTTTCCTTCTGGGTCTTCTGACATAATACTGACTTAACTAATTCACAAGGATTGAGCCCTGGCTCAACTTTTTTTAGCACCATCCAAACTTCCTGGTAGATCCGTTAAGCTTATTTCTACTGTTTAACATTGAAATTGTGGAGTGGATAACTTTCCAGAGTTGTGTAATTGGTTCTCATAGAAAATAAATACTACTACTGCTATTATTTTTCAAGCAAAAATGCCAAATGTTGAGCTTCTCAACAAATAATTATTAGTAGCAGCCCTACACATATTCAATAAAACCAAATAAGCTAAATTTGACACCATCTTGAAATGAGGGCGAACAGATAAAACTGGAATTGGAGCCTCAAGTGCGCTACTTCACTAACCCTAAGCTTATTTCTACTGTTTAACATTGAAATTGTGGAGTGGATAACTTTCCAGAGTTGTGTAATTGGTTTTCATAGTAATATAAAAACCCAGTGTTTTGATAAACCTTCAAACTCGAGGTTTTATTACTCAAACCGGCCTTCCTGGATCATATTTTATTCCGTTCAACCAACCTGCCCCGAACTCGGCCCTGAAAAAGGACATGATGTCATGGTTTCCAAGGGATGAAAAAATATTGAGCAGAGTAATCAAAAACTGTGTATTGTACTAAACATGGGGAAGAAATACACTAGAATAATGAGTTCTACATTTTTAAACATTGTGCATCAGTGTTTCTCTTGGCTGATGGTCTACATCTGCACGGTCAAAGTTGAACAACCTGCGAGTCCGCCAGGCCAGAGCTGGCTAGAGATTGCACAGAAACAGGATATGCAGGCTTGAATTTGTTTGTCAAGCATGATTTAACAGAACCAATATATGCAGAATGGAGGTGTAATGTGCTAACAAAGCAGCTCCTTGCGCTTTTTTATTGCAGTGAGGTTGTCAATCTGAATCTGAACCCCCGGAGAAGCAATACTTGTCATTAATATGTACATAAATAATTCACACAGAACCTCATCAAATTATTCAACCCTGCACATATCCTCAGTCCTTAGGTGCTTGAGTATTGAACAGGTGCCTACTTGTGTCTGATTACCCCAATCTGCAGTTTATTGACCTTTGGAGGCTTTTGTACCTGCTTCATCTTGGCCAGCTCTCTGCGTGTGTGCTCATCATTCCTCAGGTCCTTCTTGTTCCCCACCAGGATGATAGGAACATTGGGACAGAAGTGCTTCACCTCAGGCGTCCACTTCTCAGGGATATTTTCTGTCCCGGGAGAGACAAGAAGTGAGCTGAACACTCAAGACGGGAGGGGGGAGGACTATAAAAAGGGCCAGGCAGTGCAGAGTCACGGCGCAGAACACTTCTCATGATGGATTGCTCTGCAGACTGCTTGAGGCAAAGATGTTTTTAGCTGCACTAATCCTACTTCCCATCAAGTCCATTAAGGCATTTAACAAACTGCTTGTGTAGCTGATATGAGCTGCCCTGATTCTATGAAGATAAACACATCACTTTTATACAGTACAAGTCATGAATTCATCATATTTGTCAACTTTCTGTGCTGCTACCGTCTGAGCCGCGATGATCTCATTTAAGATTAACCTGTTTAAATATAGGTCGTAGAAATAAAACGTTTTAAATGGGCTTCTGTATGTCAGCAGTTCATTACCTAAACTGTCTGGGCTGTCGATGGAGAAGCACATGAGGATGACATCTGTGTCAGGATAGGAGAGAGGCCTCAACCTGTCGTAGTCCTCTTGCCCTGCAGTATCCCACAGCGCCAACTCCACCTGGGAGAAATCATAAGGAAAACATTGTAAGTAGTAGACAAACAAAATACACTGTACTGTATATATAAATATACTGTACATGGTGGTGGATACAGAGTGATTTTCCCGTTACTCCAAATCATCTCTATGATTCATTCACTTACGTCATTTTGTGCTGGTAATTTGTAATTTGAACCCTTCTTAAGGGCTAAATATGAAAATTAGTCATTGAGTATGACGTGTGAACCTTGAGGCATGTGGTGCGTCTAAGTGATTTTCCCAAAGGTCAATGGTTTAAACACCAGGAAGTAAATAATGTTAAGATTATTTAATTTTGAGACATTTATCTTGATCATAACTCATGATATGTATGTTTTACCCAGCTGCTTTCCTTGTTTGAGGGGGGAATTCTGTGTTTTTTCTCATCACCACTGCAGCTCTGTCTTAAACAGCTTCATAAGTCTGTTATGTTGTCAGTGAAATGAACACAGGGACTGGCCTCATCCCATCACACCACTGATTAATTCAATTAGGGAAAGTGGGAGATTAGCAGGCATCAAACCAGATACCTTCTGTCCCTGTACAGGCATTAACATCCAGTCTTCACTCGACTCCGCTCTTTAGCTGACTCACTGTGTTCAGGGAAGGAAACTTTTTCAAAGTTTTAAATACTGGAACTTTACTGAATGACAAGAGATTCTGGTATGCCCACAGAGAGCACAAGCATCAGTCAACGGTCCCAAAATAGAGGTTTGCAGAGGCAGAGGGTGGGTGGTGGCTGCACACTGTTGAGATTGCATGAGCAACTGGAGCGGTTCTTTTCCCACTGGACTTGTTGTGCACTGCAGACTTTGGGGAGGAAAAGAAAGAGGGAAAAAACTGCTATTTTTAGATTTTGCCCAATGTACTGAAGGTGAGAGAAGAAAATGTTTTCTTTACCCTCAAGGGGGGGAAGAATTTAGAGGCTGAGAACACAATCCAACTGGTTGTATAATGGGATAAATTCTCATGGGGCGGCCATCCTCTGGAAAGTTGCAGGGGGGCGATAACTAAAGGGGCTGAAACTCTTCACCAAAATTATCTCCCTTCAGACCGATGTCCATCATGGATCCTTAACTTTATATTTCCTGTCCAGCAAACAACAGTTAACCCCTCCTTGCTTCCCAGCATCTGAGTGTGACCAGGACAGGAAATGAGAGACGTTTATCGGGCAGGAGGAGGAGGAGGAGGAGGAGGAGGGTCCTGATGGGAGAGGGGGGGGGGTTGCCAGGAGACATCCCTGTTCCCTGTCTGAACAGGAAGCTGGGAAGCAGAGTCATTTCCTGTTTTGCCAAGAGGTGATCCTGCAGCGATGGTCAGCTCAAGAGAACAAAACCCTTGGACATAAGCCATCTGAGGCTCAGACTCCCTCGCTGACCAAGTCCTTGTGACTCAAATTCAAGACATCACACACACTTGGAAGTAGGACTTTAATATAGTTGGTTTCAGAACCCCGTCTGAAATACCTCCGTTTGCTATACAGTGCATTTTAATTGCCCTCCACCATTTAACTGAAGTGTACGAACTGAAATATGTGACATTTAGTGGCGTCACAAATTCCCACAATGGAACGAAACAGTAGTGCAGTAGCATCCATTGCTTGCTGCTAACCATAACTGACCGTTCCCTAAACACAGCTTAGCAACTGTAACTAGGCACAGCAGGTCTGTCAAGCTTTGGATTTATCCAGGTTAAACAGGTGTGCATGGAGCTGTAGTGAGAGTGACAACAGCAAACGTTTAAGGAATGGATTAAACTGTGTTTGTTCGCTCTTGCAACATTATTTTGTGGGGTTAGGAGTACTATTTACAGCATATTATCTATATTTATGCTCTGTTTGAAAGCTGGCCATGGATGCTTTAGGAGTTTAGGCTAACGATAGCAGCTCTGTCCTGCTGTTTACTGGATTTGGGAAAAGTTTACACTCCAGCAGCCCTAGCCAAAGTTACTGCAAACACATTGATATCCCTCATCCTGAAAAGCCTTCGCTCATTTAAAGTGGAAAAAAAATCTAATCTAAAGTATGTAAACTGAGCAGCCAAACAACAGTAGAATAAAATAACAGAGCTTGCATTTGTCTTTATCATACTTATAATACTGGGACCAGCTTGTGTTACACTGCAACAATGCTGTTTCTGTATTTCATCAAATGGCGAGGAGGCGAACTTCTGTGCCTGGGACATGCAACTTTAGGCTTTTTTCAGCTGAAGTATATTTATGACCTTTTGTGAAAGATTCTCTTTTAAAAACGAGTCAGTTTAAAACATTAGAAAGTCAGCTGGAGAAGCTAAAGTTTAATTATTTATCTAGCTTGTTAGATCTGCCTCACAACAGTTCATACAAATCGTGGAGAAAATCAGAGCAAAATCATCAATGTTGCTTTTTTCCACTTGTCTGCAATCGAGGACTCACTGTTTCAAATGTTATTAAGAATTATGAATTGTAAATTTGCCACCGTTATCATTTTAAACTATATTATGTGGCATGCCGACAATAACTAAGAGGGGGAGGGGCTTTCAATTAGGCCCTTCATATAGTTACTTGAAGAAAGTGTTACTTGGATGTTCAATGTACAAACCTGCTTTCCGTCAACCTCGATATCCGCGATGTAGTTCTCAAACACTGTCGGGACGTAGACTTCAGGAAACTGGTCTTTACTGAAAACAATGAGAAGACATGTTTTCCCACAAGCGCCATCTCCGACAATCACCAGCTTCTTTCGAATGGCTGCCATGTCTGTTGGGAAACAAGAGGAGGGTTTGTCATAAACAGACAGAAAAGACTGTTGAGTGTCAAAATTATAAGCAGCACCACAAAAGGCAAAAGAAACTTTGTTGCTGTTATGGGAGATTTCACTTGTCATGCTGTAGGAAGGAGCCAAACAACAAAGTCACACTTTGTCATCCATTTGTGTATTCCAAACTACAGATATTTAAATTATTTGTAGAGATCACAGGAACACAAGACAAATCAAGAACACAATGTTGTACTAAAACTTTTTCTGCTCATGCTGTGCAGCTCTAACGCGACCACTCTGACATCTCTGACTGACAGTACTGCGCCACAATACACCTAAGGGAGAACTCTCGGATCTGCACGTCGTCACAGAATGCAGTGGCAGACCTTGAATCCACAATGCCAAATCTAGACTACAAAGCATGAAGAACAGAGGAGAAGGAGTAAGATAGTGGAGTGATGGGGAAGAGAAAGAGAGGAGGGGGGTGTTGAGACAAGCTGGGACATGAAGGAATGTGCTATCAGGCTTCTGCTCCGCCCTGTTTGTTTCCCTCTGCAACGTATGTGGAAAAGAAAAGCGTCCAGGAAATCAGAGCAGCTGGTGAAGTACTTGGTGGTGTCCTAAAGCAGACAAAACACTACCCTGCTTTTGATCTCCTCTGATGCGTCTTCAGTTCTCTTCAGGAATACACTCATAGTAGACAAAATCCTAATTATCTCAAAACTACTTTGCATTAAAGGACCAAGAGCTAAACCTGCCAGCCCATATGCTGTTCCCGTGTTAAGCTCTAATTGCTTTCATGGGGTTCAGAGAGTTGGGAGCATGTGCAGAAAAAGAAAAAAAAATACCATGCAAGTGCCAAACAAAACCATGTCAGACAAAGATGGATGCCTGCAGGGAATTAAGCTTTGCTGGTTTCCTGTGCACAAAATCCAATCCACTTAACCAACTGAACCAAGACACATTTCTGTGCGAAGCCCAGATGTGAGGACTGGTTTAGTTGGGGCAGACTGTGTGGGCATGAGTTAGCAGTGCAGCTGATGGATGAGCTGGAGCCCTGCTGCCTGGGAGCAGCTGTGCATATAGTCATTTTGGCTCCTCACCTCATCCACTTTCTCCCAGACAGTCTTGACAGCAATCCTCTTCACGAGGGCACCCACTTATCAGGGGAAATTAATCTTTCAGTGATGTTGGCAAAACTTCTGAGTTGAGTCTGCACCAACGCCCACTTTTAATCTCGGATCAGATGCATAGCAACACCACGTTATTAGTTAAACTCTTGTTGGTTTGGTACCGTAACAGATCAGGGGATTTGTGCAAAATCTGAATCTTCTTACATTTTAAAGCCAATACTAGTCAACATTTGCAAAGTCTTAACGAATCATCAACCTGAGAGGCTTGATCAGTATGTCATTTGGGATAGTTAGCATATTTGCCCTTCTTGCAGATTTAAATGACATGATTGATGCCACTCTGCATGTCTATACAGCAAATATGAAGCTACCGCCAGCAGCCAGTTAGCTTAGCTTAGCACAAAGACTGGAAACAGCTGTCACACATGTCTAAAGAAACCATCAAATACTGGTTTCTTTGGTCTTTTTTTATAAAAAAAAAAACTTTTACTATGTTATATACTTATTACTATAAAAAAGTTAATTATTACACTGTGGCAGACATGTAAATCCAAGGGATTTTGTTTAGAATTTTAAACTCAGCTCAATGGATGTAAGAAACTAAAACTAAAAAAAAAAATTAAAAGATGCTATAAGAAAAGTCTTGGTAGTGTCAAAATAAAGCTCCAAAAGAAGCTTGTTTGATTGCACATTTATGCACATTCTGTAGATGTGCACACATTTATCAAAGCAAAATTAAAATATAAATGTTATATGAATAAATGGGTTTAGTGGCACAATGAGCAAAGAAACCCAGGAAAGAATAAAAAATAAAAAAAGGGATACAAGAGAAGAAATTCTTACCCAGCCATGTTTCCATGGACATTTAGGCTTGGCATAACGAGCAGCCATACTGGAAATGTTGGGGTGTGTTTGCTTGTTTGACAGTTTTATTGACATTTTGAGTTACTTGTTCCTTTTTATGGAAATATTGGTCATGGGTTGTTCATATTTCTGTCCTTTTGCCCAAAGCCCCACTCCTCCTGGTGCAGTGTGTTCAGTTACAGCTGCACAAATTTTTGCTGAGATGTGCTAAAGACTTAAATTTCAGTTCAGGCTACTGTAGCAAATACTGTGTGCTCACTCCCGTTATTTCTACATGTTCAATATGTAATGAAAGACAAGTAATCAAACCCCCTGAATACACTCTACAATGACAACCAAAAATGATCATTCCCTTCAGCTGCAGTGGCAAATGACACAAAACAAAAAACAGAATATTTAATGAGAACAGAGATTGCCTCCACTTTCCTTCTGTAAGTGGGATTGATACTGGAATGAATATTGATTCCAGAGAAACTGCACAGTATCCTTAACTAGATGATGGGTTCAAAGCCAAACAAGTGGGAGACAGCGGCACCGGGGCCTCAGAGGCTCATGCTGTGAAACAAAACAATCCACTTCCTGTTCTATGAAGCCTGGGAGGAGCTTTTGGCTGCAGTTCTGTTTGGACAGGCCTCAGCAGAGCCAGGACAAGGAGAGGGCTGCCAGAGGCAACGCAACACATGCAACCACGCACGCCTGCTTACTCACACATACATGCACATGTACACAGTCGCTCACTTTGCACAATGATAGCTTGTCAATGGTGGCAGTGATATTGGGAGCCAATGAAGGAACATCTGAGGAAATTATGCGTGAAAATGTCCCATATAGTCTCAATACTCCGTCTACCTGTGACTGATACCCTCAATTTCTGCACTAATGGATACTAATGACAGCAACAGCTGAGGAGGACGTTTACATGGTTGCCAGTAGTAACAGATTTCACTACTGTTGTCATCCAGATCAAGCCTGTTGATCATGTTTCAGCCAACAAAACCACCACCATTCATTCTATCCACATTCATATCAAAGCCTGATCTCACCCAGATTCAATCACATGTGTATGTGCGCCACTTATCTGGGACCGGTATCAGCTGGCTGACCTTAGACCTCAACGCTATTGAATGAAAGCAAAGGTGTCAGTGAGAGATTAACCGTCCGCATGAAAGCCGTGACAAAAGCAAAAAAAAAAACAGTTCAGCATCATTCTGTCAGCTCTACACAACGATCCCTCAGTTCAGAGTGCAGACATTTTCATTTACCTGTCACTGTGAGTCTGCACAACTCAACTGAGATTTATCCAGTGGTGCAAAGAGGTATGTTAGAACACATTCATAAAGCCTTCAATCATTCTGAGGTTGACTGAGGAATAACTATAACGGTGAGACAGCAGGAACACTGCTTGCCAGACATCAAAGAGACATACTGTACAGCAAAGATAAAAAAATAATACTGAACTTTAGTTATCTGGTCTTTTAGCTGAGGTTGTACCTAATAAAACCCTACATTGTATCTCTTATTAATGCACTTAAAACACAAGCTGGAGAACTAATATGCAACCTGATACAGTGATATGAGCTGTTTCTATTAGTAATCTATTAGCATTATTCCTCCCAGTCTTCTAGCAGCAGTTCCAATATTGTTGGCTTGTTGTGACATCTACTTGAATAAGGGCAGTCCGGTAATGTAGCAGGGCGGCCAATGCAGAGGACATAGAGGGTCATAGAGCAGAGAAGTTTAGCTTTGTGAACGTTGTATTTCTACTGTTAACCTCACAACAAAAAAGTAATAATTCCTGCTTTGATAACTTTGAGTTGTAAAATATTGTTTCATACTATTATACACCACAGCACAGTATTTTGGCATCTGAAAAGTGTCAGACACCTGAAGCAATACAGCCCTTGGGTTATTTTAATGCAGGTTGATTTCAGTCTGAACACCAGCTAATGTGACCCCTCATCACAGACTGCAAATAAATAAACTGTAAGCAGTTCAATCAAGGAGGGGATTTTCCTTTCTGATATTGTTTCACTGGAATACAATGAAGACCTGAAGAGGTAAATCAGAAAAACTAACCATAATTTTGTGCAGCAGAAATGTAATTTCTTTATTCTTAGCATAAAGCCTGTAAAGTAGCCTGTGAAGTAGTAGCCTGACTCTATAAAAATGTTACAAAATCCGCCTACCAGCATCTCTAAAGCTCACCAGCTAACACCTTCTATTTCGCCTCTTTAATCCACACAAAAACTCAAGAGTAAAAAAAAAGTTAAAAACAATAGCCTACATTGTAGTTTTACGGAGGGGTGGCTGGACTACTTTGGCCCCGGAGCAATATCTTTAATTATCTTTGTTAGAGAGAGTCAGTGGCAGTAGATTATCTACATATAGTATGTGTTACATATTTTGCTTGCTTAGCTACTCAGAGATTACCAAGTACTAAAAATCAAGGAAACAAGGACATTTATTCATCATCTATGTGAAGTCACCTAATGTCCATTAATGACCCGAAAATCAAAAACCAACAAATCTTATAATTTATGAACCATTTAAGTCATTGATCAAGCAAACTTGCCAAACTTTGCTGGTTCCAGCTTCCCAATTAGAAGAATTAGTTTTCCACTTATATCATAAAAAAGGAAGTAATTTGGGGTTTTGACTTCTTGGAAACAGCCATTTTTCATCATTTGGGTGTGTTTTATTGGCTAAATGATTGAATGAAAACTAATCCACACATTAATTCATAATGAAAATAATAGTAAATAACAGAAAATAAATAAAATATGGAAGCTGTTGCGGTACGTGTGAGGTGTAAAATAACACTGGAAGGCATCCATAAAACTTGGTCCAAACACAACACGCGGAGCCATTTAAATACATAAAGAAAGCAAAGCACCTTTACTTCCTACAACTATCTGAGCAATGCCCCGGGTTAATTAACACACCACCTCTCTCTTTCTCTAAGGAGGTTTCCTGAGGCTTAGGGGCCAACAGGAGTTATGCAACATGCTGAGCACAGAGTTAGCAGAGAGCAGAGCGTGACCCTGACCAATGAGGGAGAGCTGCCTTTCAATCCTCATATAACTTTTAACAACAATGCTGAACATAGACAAACATCCACCCAATAAAAGGCCTGTTGTTTCGGAGATAATGATGACTTTTTTTGTTCCAAGGTCCTGCAAACAAGCAGACGTATTACAGGAAATGAGTCTGAGTGTGATTGTTTTGCTCGTCTAACTGGCTTCCCAGGGCTGCACCTCGTTCTCTGATACACTACAGTAGAGTCAGAGAGCCCAGAGTTACAGATCAGCTGATATCAACATTGAAAAGTTATTTCCTGAGTTTTTGGTGTTGCCATCACAGGAGTTGTCAAGGAGCTCAGGTTGTAGATAAAAGCTTCATAACTAACAGAGCAATAAAACCCAAGACTGGATTTGAACTGTTTGACAGATAAACATTCACCCAGAGATTACAAATTGAGCCTAAAGCTCTGCACAACGTATTTTACTGCGGAGTAAAAAATGAACTTTAATGTACTTCAGAGACATGTTGTTTCATGAATGCCCTCCAGCCTGTTTGGCACCTCAACAGCAGCTCCTCTCTAATAATGAATCAGTGTTTTTTCTCAAGAGACACAAGCTATCAGGCTGTTTTTTAAAAAAACAAAGAAACCTTTAAACCTGAAAGCACGCAAGAATTTGCCTCACTTCTGCAGGTCTGTCTGTCTGAGAAATGGGACAAAGTTCATAAACTTGCAGAGGCTGTTGGCTGAGACAGAGCAGACAGCCTGCGACACTGGCTGTCTACACCACCCTAACCTGACGTGAAAACATCTTATCTGACTAAATCTGACAGGAAGCAACAGACCTCACATAGAGGATCAGACATTGGGTGACTACTCAAAAACTAATTGTACGAGAAAGCTTCACGTCGGTTCAGATTGAGCCTTTATGGATACAATGTAGAGATTCCTGGGTACAAACTGTGGACTCAAGTGCATACAATTGAAATGTGAGTGCTGAGCTCTCTTACACAACAGCAGAAATATACATAGCAGATCAGGTCAACCTCTCACATTCTTTGGGCGTATGTTACAAACACACCAGCTTCTTAGTCTCACTGAGTCATGGCTTTACTGGTACACCCATGGAAATGATCAAATGTCCCAATAGTCAGACGCCCATGAAATAAAACCAGGTACGACATTCCCCCTCTTGAGGACAATAACCTATATAAAAATAAGGGAACTTTTTATATTTTGCATATTAAATAATATTTGTATGTGAAAGAAATAGTTTGATATTTTTGTAAATTCACCCTTTGTTTTCTTGCTGAGAGTGAGACGAGAAAATCGACACCACTCTCATGTATGTCCGGTAAATGTGAGGCTAGATTCAGTAGCCGGTTAATTTAGCTTAGCATAAAGAAGTCTCAGCTGACTTCCTGGCATCCTCACAATAATAACAAGACTCCAGGAAGTCAATGCTCTTTGGTAAAAACATCATTTTGTGATTATTTTGACAGATATTGCAATTGCAATATGATTCATAATTAGTGTTGGAATGATTTTCAATAAAAAAAAACTATTAAAATCACGATTATGTGACATTTTTGGGGGGTTTGTAGTAAAAAATAACATGTTTTCTTAAATTTAGGGCACAAGATTTGTAGAGCAGGGCATCACTGCAGCACTACAGTACCTTATTATAATGCTGTTTTGTCACACATTTAACCAAATCACTGCAGCTCTTGCAATTTGCATATCGCGATTTCAATAATATTTCAATTAACTCAACCAAATAACTCCCATGGACGTATTATGAGAACTGTTGTCAGTTTTAGAGACGTCTCTCTTTGGTGGTCTAAGTGGAAAATGCATTTTATGTTGCAGTACCGCGAGTGGCCATCGGTACGAAGTGGCAGCAAGGCTGAATAGCGACACTCAACCAGCTCTCTTTTAATACATCCACGATAACCTGCCATAAAACTGCAACTTGTTTTTACACTCCAGGTCTGAACAGATTGAAAAAAAAAAGGAAATAAAACGTCAATTAGTGAGCTTCACAGGTGCTGATTGGTGGATTTTGCTGCCTGTAGACAAAGCCAGGCTAGCTGTTTCCTCTTAAGTCAAACTAAAATTCATAATTACCATACAGATATGAGAGTGGTATCAATCTTCTCGCCTCTCTGAAGGAAAACCAACAAGCGTATTTCCTAAAATGTTAACCAATTTAAATTCAGGTGGTTATGGTATTGACTCTATGACTGGGTCTATCAGAAGAGCCTCACAAACTAGAGCTCGTCTAATCACCATATTGTCCGGCCACATTTCAAATTAATGACCCGCAGCCTGGTCACCTTCATGGCTTCTGCCAAGCGGCTATTAATTTATAAATACACAAAGGAAGACACTCACAGGCACTCTTGCTCTTCAAGCCTACTGAGAGGAACTAGGACAAGAGTTGAGTCAGCTGGTGGTAGCTGGAGTGGGATGAGCAAACTCAAAGACAGAGGCAGAGGATACACCTACACATGGCTCAGAGAGAACCGACAGCTCGTGACTCACTTCTGTTCAATAACTCAGGTCACAAGCAGACAAACGGGGCTGACTGGGTGGCTGAGAGAGAGGAATCCACCAGAGTGTGGACACTTCTGTTCCTCCAGGGACAAATCTATGCATCTACTCTAGGGCTGCAACTTATGATTGTTTTTATGACTGATGAATCTGCAGATTATTTTCTGTATTAATCTATTAATTATTTGGTCTGTAGTGTCAGAAAATAGTTTGAGATTACCATCGCTATTTCACAAGGAAGTTAAAACAGCTTGTTTGGCCCGACCGTCCATCCGAAAGTTACTCAAGACAGAAAGTTGGAACTTGTAGACTTTTGCCCCCAAAAATGACCGAAACTATTTATCAATTATATAGATGTTCTGCTGACAGACTGATTGATTGACCTCAAACTGGTGGTTAGAAGATTTACTGATTCGTTTATAGACAACAATGATTAGCCATTGGACAAACCAAACAATTTGAAGACACTGACATTTTTCAGTTCAAACTATTAAATGACTGGTTAAAAAATAGTTTTTTCCAGTTTTCAGGGCTGCAATTCATTATTGTTCTCTTTAGTCTAAAAAATAGTTTCTCCTTTCGTCCAACTACTAGACTCCAAAACCCAAAGATATATTCAATGTATTATGATATAAAACAGAGAAAGAAGAAAAAGCTGGAGAATATTTGGCATTTTCCCCTCAATAAACAATTACTCTATTATCAAAACGGCTGAAAAATGTTAACCAACTCATCAATTAACTGACTGTTAGACTGTTTTCATCCACCCGCAAGTGTCTCAAGAATACATTTGCATGAATGCAATGAATGTTGTTTTTCCAACAGATTGTACATTTAGCAGGATGATCACACTACATTATCACAATTTAACGTGCTAAGAAAGCTCCCACTTTAATTCAGCTCCCACTTTAACACAATTAATCCAACTTCAGCCTAAATAACTCACCCGTGTTCTCCAATTTCACCCCCCCTCCCCTCTCTCTC